CTTCAAAGATACAAAATATATAATAGATCGCTGGTCAATATATATATATATATATATATCTATAATAGATCGAAATCATGTGATATCAATAAGTCATAATACATGTTACTTATTGATTAGAAATTTGAAAATTAAGAGGAAATAAAACAAATGTGCCTATTACTAATGAGAATTAAGTATACTAGAAGGGGCTAGTTTATCACATGTTCTACTAGGAGATATATACAGTTTAGGCCTTATTTAGTATACAGGCTTAAATTTGAAAAATCAAGATCGAGATTAGAGGTGAAATTAAAACTTTAAAATTATATTTGATATGAAGTGATAATTGCAATGAATGCTTAACTTTGTTTTATTTTACATTAAACATAAATTATGAAAAGATTATGATACCCCTTATAATTAATAAAAAAAATAAAACTCTGGAACATCTCTTCTTCTCTATTGCCGTGAAACCCCAGCCCTTTCTCCACCTCTTGAATCAAATCAGATCCTTTGGAGGAAAATGCTTCCTTGCTTTGACGATGAGCGCGGGGTATTTATTCTTGCACAAACCCTGCAAATTTAAAAGTTAAACCCTGTGAACAATGACGACAACGACAAACAATGAACAAAAAAAATTGAGTCATTCGCGACCTCAGCAAAAGAACCAAGCTTATCGACTGATTTCCTCACCTGGGTCAGTGCAAATCCTTGCCCCTCTTCCATATGGTGGTCTAGCAAAGCTTATTGGTCTAATTAAAAACTGATAGGGTTGTCCTCAAGCTGCGAGAGCATACCCCAGAAAAAAGCAAGAAGGATAGATATGAGGAAGTGTGGAAGATGACTCAACCTCGTCTTTGTAGGCGGAGGAGGATTCCACCGGTGACTATGAGAACAACTCGACGGAGATGAAGAAGGTGATTGGAGATGGAGGAGGGTGGAAGGAGAAATGATGGGAGGGACATGGGAGGGAGAAGCCAAGCGAGAAAATTGGCTTCATAGAAAAGGGTGTTTTGATCTATAAAATTTGAATTCCAAGAATAACATTTCAGTACCACCCCTTCTCATGGGTTTCACTAGTTCTTCATGAGTGGGTTTTATCAATTTCAAGTTTTAGCCAATTTATTTTACCAAACATTTTAATTATGGGCTTTATCAATTTTAATTTTAATATCTACCTTTCAATCTTTTATACCAAATAGGTCTTAGTGCCCAATAATATTTTAAACAAGATTGTCAATGGAAGGAGTTAGTTTATCATATGTTTTATTAGAAGAGATACACACATTTAATGCTTGACAATATTTTAAATGGGTTTTTTCTAATAGAAAGATGCCTACAAAAAAGGGCTGGGTCTCTAATATGCCTTCTCTAATGCTTCTTGTAATGCCCCAACTTTCCAATTTTATTTTTTATTTTTTTTAGATCATTGACTTTTACATAAAATAAGAGACATTTCGATATCTTGATATTTTAAAATGGTGAAGATTTATATTTTTTATGATTTTTCAAAAATAAAAGGGTGTATTTGTGATATTTTTCTTTAAAAAATAAAAAATATAAATCTTCACTATTTTGGGACATTAAAATATTTAAATGTTTCTTATTTTATGTAGAAGCTAATAATCCAAAAAAATAAAAAATAAAAAATAAAATTGAGATGTTGGGATATTATAAGAGATATTAAAAAAAAGCAGATTAGAGGCCATTAGTCCTATCAAAAATATGTCTATTTTTGAGGGAGGGAGGAATAGACTAAAAGTTGGAAAAGTGTCCATTTTCTTGCGCGCGAGAGAGAGAGAGAGTGTGTGAGAGAGAGAGAGAGAGTAAACTTGTATATAAGATGTTCAAAGAAAAAACAAAACACTCACAATTATAGGAATCCTTTTCCTGTTACATAACATCCAAACACTCCTCTACTTTCTGGCAACCAACGCACACCCCACAAATTCTACCCCCTCTCGGCCTCTCTCATCACCACCCTCCCTCTTCTTCTTCTTTCTCCATTTAGATACATCCAAATTCAAATCCACGTTTGTATTATTTTTTCTGCAACATTGAACCTGACAAAGCTTTAAGCCTATCAACCTTGTTTTGAAGTTTCCTGGTTTATCTTGTACCGACTTTTTTAATTAAATGAAAGAATGAATTTTGTTTTGGCAAAAAAACCAACCAATTTTCCAGGCAAAATTTGATAAATTGAATTAATTAAGTAATCCCTAAATTAAATTTGATGTATTTGCATGAAACTTGAGATCAATCTCACTACTTTCCAATTTAATATTCTTTTAATTTATGCGATTGTAATTCAAGGCCTCGTGCATTTAAGTATCATTGGAATAAAATATAGCATAAATGGACAATGAATTAATATTGATTCATTGCATGTCATTGCACCGAAAAGATAAGGGCGTGACCTTCATTTTAGACCAATGCTATTTATTGCTCGGCAAGTACTCTTTTATCTTAAATTACAAATATTTTTATATAAAATCTTCTATACTAATAAATTTTATTAAATACACTTAATAATTTTTTAAAAATAAATATATAAACTTTTAAAAATATTCTTCATTCAAGATATTGAGAAGAAAGGAGCAAAAATTAAATTAAAAAAATGTTAATATTGAAATAAACCTATTTAATAAAATTTTAATATTATCAAAATGTCTTAAATTTTGAAATACTTAATTTTTTTAAAAATATCCTATAATTTAAAAATGAAGGGAGTAGTTGCTTAAGAAATTGGATATCATATTGTGCCCAAACGACATTATAGTAGAAAGTCAACCAAAAAATATGGAATAATAACTTGATATAACAAACAAGTTGTCAACAAAAAAAAAAAACTCGATAATAAATAACATTTATTGCAACGCGCATATGGTACGTAGTTTGCATGCTATGCTTGTGCTCATATTTTGACAAATCTTACACACTTTCATTAAAAAAAAAATGCATAATCGTATTAATATTCTTTTATTGGATTTTGTTTCTAAAAAAAAATCCTTCTTTGGTATTTCTTGTCAAGATGAATCTACTCCTTTTTTGCAAATGAACGAGTAAAACCACTTTAATTAATTATACATGAGTGAACATAAACCTAACATTTTTCTTAATCATGGATATGTCCTTGTGTTATTTTTTTTCCTATTGAAACGAATATATTAATAAGAATATAAAAATATCTATAGTGAAAAATAGAACGATAGAGAAAAGGAATTCATGGGTGAAGATCTTAACTAGCATATGAGATATATAAGGACACATAACGGGTCAACAATATCAAACAAGTTGTTCTGTCAGTATGAAAAGGAAGAGACATGCGAAAGAGCGAAAGAGATATAAGCATGTTTATCACTCTGACTTGTTCTTACTTGAATAGTAGAAATATTAGAAATATCAAATGCAGAATGGTTGATATTTTCTCTCTTAGATAATTTCTCACACCGCGTCAAATTTTTTTTCCCATTTGATTCATTTTCCCCTATTCTTATTCCTCTATTTTTTTTTAAGAAAAATCAGGTTGTTCGTAATAATTTAAAATTTTCATGTATAACGTTTAAAAAATTTCACTTAGATATTAAAATTCAAATGAACAAACAAACAAATACATTTATTAATCAAATAAAGACAATAAAGATTAGAAAAAGGAAGAGGAAGAAAATTAAAACCAGTTTAATCATACACTCGTTGACGCATGGGACCATACGTGGCGTAGTGAATGCTGATATTGGGAGGGGCACTAACAAATAATGATTAGAGAAAAAAAATGTCAAAATAATTTATTGCCAGTAATTACTCATCTTCATCATTTTCCGTAACTGAAACATCAAATAATTGATTAATTTCACATAAAAAATTATCAAAATTACCGTTTGATGCACTATTAATTTTTAGAATGAAACTAAACATAAATTTAATATTTTTTGCTGAGCAAAGTATATTGTACAATAATTTGTCTACACAGTAATTTTGACCTTATATTTTTTAAAAATGATAAAAATAAGCAACTGAGATTATGGAAAATGAACTAAATAATTTACAATTGTAATCTTACATGTCATGACATACTGACGTAAAAAATTCACCTTTTTAGTATAAATGTTATACATTCAATATCCCCTATTATATGCTTGAATGTTTCAGTTCCACAAAACAATAAAAACTAGACTCTAATTTTTCAAATTGCGTTGCTATTGATTTATTTTTTTTTTTTGATAAGAAATGCTATTGATTTATTTTTCAAAAAACCAAAAAAATTGTGAATATCATGAATATTTGTAACTTTTGTGACTGAGTGACAAAACTGGATGCACGTTAAACGCACGGCTAAACTAAACTAGACACCAAGTCTTTCGTCCAAAAAAAAAAAGAGAGAGACCAAGTCAATGCGGACCAAAACCTTGTAATTGTAGACGACTCAAGTCCTAAATTTTCCCGTCCTCTTGTTCCATATTTCAACCACTTCAAAAGCCACAAAACTTTCAAATTTTGGATTTGCCTTTTCAGCGCGTTACAGAATATTATCACCCCCACTGCTAATCTTATAATCACTCAAACAGAAAAGAATCAAACCTTTTATTATCCTCCAAGGGTTGATTTCTTGGGTAAAAATTTTAAATTTGATCCTTCTGAGGTTTACATATCCAATATTATATTTTACAGTACTCGTATTCATCAATGAAAAAACATGTAAAAGGTAGCCGTTGGGGGAGGTGATAACTACATTAACAGAAAACAGCGTTAATCCCCCCCCCTTACAACAGGAAACTGTCTGTCATTAGAGACATAGATGATGATTTCATAGTAATTATAGGCTACAGCCTCTACCATGGAAACCCCTGTGGTCCAGCAATGACAACCTTGGGTTTCGATATTATTGGAAGACCCATAGATTCTCCCATTGTATCAATGGCCAGGCGAGACAGTGATTACGCCCACTAGACTTTTGTCTGTCTCAGCTTTTTTTTTTTTTTTTTTTTCCCGACGGCAAAAAGTTTTGCATTTTGAAGAATTTTCTCCCAAATTCGTCAATTGGTTTTGGGGTATGCCATACTCGGCATCCCTGTACATAAATACCCCTCCCCCAAATCCATTCTTTGCAAGGTGAAGAAGCGAAAAACTCACCAAACGGCTATTATTGACGTTACAAGGTTGAGAAACACAGAGAGACACAGAAACCCAGAGAGGGAGAGAAACAGATAGACAGACGAGGCCTTAAAGTTCGTGGCTTTGTCTGGATTTTCCCTCCTTTGCCTTATTTTCTCTGCAATTTGTCTCCTTCGCGTTTCTTGTTCTACGGGTTCATCTGTTGCCTGTCATCTTTTGGTTACAAGGGGTTCGTAGGAGAAGCAGAGAGGAGAGAAACACAACCCAATTGTACGCGCTGTTTGTGCTTCAGGTCTGTGTTTCTTTGCTTGTTTCAGAATTGAGTTTTCTTTCTGTTTGATGTCTCTCTACTCTCATGAAATTTTGAGTTTGTTTAGGCTCTGGGTATCTTCAGTTTCGTTGCGTTGTTAATATAAAATGGACTTGAAGAATCTCTATTCGGTTTAACGTATCCAATGGATATTACTATCATTTTTAAATTTTGACCGAGTTTTATGTTTGCTTCTCTTTCACAATCTAACTCGATTTTGATACTCAAAATGGGATATTTCATTCGATTTCAGTTTCTTCCAACGATCCCCATCTCCCTAAAAGCAAATAATCTTGGAGATGTCAAGTACAATTCATATGCGTATTTGAACTTATTGTTGATGGGTCTTCATGTTCATATTGATTGCCCGTTCCTTAACTAGTGTTTTTTTTTTTTTTTTGTGTGTGGGTAATTTCGGTTTCTGAACATCTGGGATTTGAAGAGAATGTTTTTTGTTTGGCATTTGAATAGCCTATATAGATTTTCAATATGCGATTCTTCCCCTGCCCGTGCCTTCTTTTCTCTTTCTGGGCCTTGCTCAGGATTGAAAGACACGTATGCTTATCAGAATTGCAATGGCTGTATATTTTGTTCTTGTTGTCTGTATACGCACCATTTTGAACTCCATTTTTCTGATGCCCCTCAAACTATACCTTGGTGAAAAAGTTGTAAAATGATGCCAGGTTACTCATGCCTCTTGAAGTTTGAACTATATCCAGGAATATTCTCTACTGCTTTATGCTATATGTGACATAGTTGCAGACAACATTAGTCTGTGTCACGATTCTATGACATTATGTGCGATCAATCAAGCATGTGAATTGATTAAATTCATGTTTATTATGCAACAGGAAATTCATTCAGCTTTGAGCATGTTAAGGGTGGGGCGTGTTTTGCGTGGCTTGGACTTCAAGACTTACATATTTTTATTTGTCGCCATCCCATTAGGCATCTTTGGGATATATCTGCATGGACAGAAGATCACGTACTTTCTGAGACCGCTCTGGGAATCTCCTCCAAAGCCCTTCCGTCAGATTCCTCACTATTATCATGAGAATGTATCAATGGAGAATCTCTGCAGACTTCATGGATGGGCGGTTCGTGAATCGCCAAGACGAGTCTTTGATGCTGTTCTGTTTAACAATGAAGTCGACATGCTCACGATTCGTTGGAAGGAATTGTACCCGTACGTGACAGAGTACATACTCCTGGAATCAAACTCAACATTCACAGGATTGCCCAAACCATTGTTTTTCTCAATCAATAGAGACAAGTTCAAGTTTGTTGAGTCCAGACTAACATATGGGGTTATTGGAGGGAGATTCAAGAAAGGAGAAAACCCTTTCATCGAAGAAGCATATCAAAGAGTGGCTCTTGACCAGCTTCTGAGAATTGCAGGCATAGAAGATGATGATCTCCTGATAATGTCTGATGTTGATGAGATTCCTAGTGCCCATACCATTAATCTCTTGAGGTGGTGTGATGATATCCCTCAAGTTCTTCATCTTCAATTGAGGAACTACTTGTATTCTTTCGAGTTCTTCTTGGACAATGAAAGCTGGAGAGGATCAGCCCACAGATACCAGTCTGGCAAGACAAGATATGCTCACTATAGGCAATCTGATGTGCTCTTGTCAGATGCTGGTTGGCATTGCAGCTTCTGTTTCCGGCGCATCAGCGAGTTCATATTCAAGATGAAAGCTTACAGCCATACCGACCGGGTGAGGTTTGCACACTACCTGAACCCTAACAGGATTCAGGACGTGATATGTAAAGGGACTGACCTGTTTGATATGCTTCCTGAGGAGTATACATTCAAGGAGATCATTGGGAAGTTGGGACCTATTCCTCATTCTTATTCAGCAGTTCACCTTCCTGCATTTTTACTGAACAATGCAGAGAAATACAAGTATCTGTTGCCAGGTAACTGCAGGAGAGAAAGTGGCTGAGTTTGAAATTTGGGATGTGGTTTAAAATTCATTGCTCTTTTACACCAGAAAGGAACTCCATTGAATTGAATGATTCATGGCCATGGTGATTGGTGAGGTCATGTGCAAGAAAACTTGTGTCCCAAGGAACTGTAGTTCATTGTGTGACAGAGGAAGCATGTCAAATTTCAAATTCTGGGAGTCCAAGATCTAAGCCATGTAAGGTGGAATCTGAGCTGTAGTTCAATTTTTTTTTTTTTTGGCAGTCCTTCTGCTTTGTACCTTGTCTTTGGGTATATTATATAAAAACCCTAATTCGGTTAATTGTAGCGTGGCATTTCCCAAGCTTTTGTGGTGGGAATTGTTTGTTCTTCTTGTTATCTTTGCCCCATATATCTGACTCTATTTATTAAAAAAATTCAGAGTTTGATTGTTTAATTGGTAGAGTAATATAAACAAGTAAAAAAATGAACTAGAGTTGACCAGGTGAAGGTGGGGAATACAAGGAAGAAAGACTTAAAAAGAATCGAAACGTGGTGGGACAAGACGAGAGGGCAAAAGTTCTATAGTGGGACTACGAGTCTACGACTCTTCCGACTTTGTGCATTTTTCTTTTTAAATATTAGCATGGCTTTGTCATTAGTGTATATTTAATTTGGTTAGATGTTTTGAACTAGATTTGTTTAAGTAATTAATAAAAATATTCTAGTAACCAATGGCGCAATCTGTAGTTCAAATTTGACGCACTTTGTGTGTGTGTGAAAGAGCTGTATTCAGTATATACTTGTATATACTCTTCCCGTATCTTATTACAATATCCTATTTATTTTAAAAAAATACAAAAAAAAACTAAATAAATTTATTTGATGTCTGTAAATCAAAAAAAGATGTTTTAATTAAGAACTTTGTAACAGAGTAAAAAATAAGCTTGTGAAGAAGTGGAGCGAGCGTAGAAGGAAAGGCATGGAGATTAAAGATTGGGAAATTGACAATTATGTAACAAAAGATTGAATCAATAATTTACAAAGTTTGAAAAAAGAATATCAATTATAACAAGAAAGTTATGTTGAAATGGTACATGTCCCATCTAGCCAACTCATTTGACCACCTATATCCTACTGAATTTTTTTAATATAATTAATAGCTCTGATCTTCCTCCTCATAAATTGATCTTGAGAGTTGTTGCTTTAGTAACGCGTTTAAAAAACATTGATCAAGTAGTAGGATTATACAATTGAACTTGTTTTGTTGTGTGTGTGTCAAAAGTATTTGTGTCAAAAGTCCCACATTGCCTAAATATAGAACTTTCCTAGTGTATAAATACTAAAAAATGAAATGGGCTAATAAAATTTATTTGGAGGAAAAGTGGGCTCATGCACAAGAAATAGGTTAAGTAAAAACAATTGCAGTTGAAATCAATTGATTCATTTTCTTTTGTGTGAATTCAAGAGGCATTAGGTTTTTTTTACTGGATTAATTTTACAAAATAAATAAATAAATAATTATTTTTAGCTTAAAACCTAAACCCTAAAACCTCAAATTTTCACTGTTTAAATTTGAGTTTGAAGCGTTGGTAGTTTTAGGTATTAAACCACTTCTAAAAATCAATTTTGTTAGTTAATTTCTTAAACACCCTTGTTTGCCAATGACTCTAGATTAATGGTGTTTTATATGTGTGTAACCGAAGCCTTAATTCGGTGATTATGAGCCAACGTTCATGTCTCTATCTTCAGCCTATATATAGCTATGAGTGCAGACAGATCAATTAGCCAGCCTCTTAAGCTTTCAGGGCATTTTTAGTTTTGATGTTTTAGTTCTTTGCTCCGGCAAGAAGTGCTTGTTTAATCCTAAGAAACTACCAGTCCATCGTGTTCATATGTCGAAATAGTTCTCAAGGACAGTGTCTGTAACATTCTCGCTTCACTAAACAAAATTATCCAATAAAACACCTGATAATCAGAGATTTAGCTTAACCAGTTAATTACCAAGGTTCAATTTTAAAAATAAGGGATCCCGAGTTTTCTAAATAGAAACAAGTCAAAATCGATCAAAATCTTTCATATCAGAATAAAAATAAGTTTCGAAAGTATGAGATATCTCAGAGGAGTGAAAGAAGTTAAAACGATTGAAAAACAAAACATATGTTGTGATTCAAAGCCATGCGCGTGGCTTGTGCATGATGCGCCATGGCAAGTTGCTCTCTGTGCCACGCGCCGTGGATTAGGCACTGTGTTGCACAAAATTTCACTGGTTCTGCTATCATTTGATAGCAAAATTGGGGAAACTTCCGACTTGCCCCGATTCTCCGTCCGTCGTTCGAATGATATGATCTAAGTGTCTACGAAAAGCTTTTTACATGAACTAGCTAATGGCATAAGTTTCACTTCCAAAACAAGTCACATTAGAAAGTTGGACACCCAAACATAATTTGACCATTTTTCAACACTTTTATATAAAATGGGTATCCAAAACCCTCAACAAGTACCAAAAATTTTTCCTAACACCTGGACCATGTCCAATGGATCTTTGGACTACCAATACAACATGTCACAAGTATCAAAACATTAATATAATAAAAATTCACTCCTCAAACCCATTTTACCAAAAACAAAGGGGGAGGTAATTTGCCATTACATTTAACTCAAATCATTCAAAACATACTCAAATCTTCATTTCTACACTTGCACTAGTATTTTGGCCATATAAAGACATATATGTCAATATACATGAAAGCTAAGGGCCCAAAATATAATTCTAACATTTTCAACAACCAAAATAGTGCAAGTAAGGTAATATGCATCCTAAAATTGACAAGCCATATAATATTATATAATTAAAGCTAAACTAGAGGCATATAGTAGAAATATGCTAATTCCCTGCCTCTTTAGTCTTCTCCCTTTCAACACCAGAGTTAGAGCCTGAAAAGTATTAAATAAGAGGGGTGAGTTTAGCCGCTTAGTAACCAAGGTTAACCCTACCCTATGCAGTTATATATTAATTATAAAATAAATACATGCATAAGGAGATAAAAATTGCAAATCACACTCACATGTATCATAATTTACCTTTTTTCACTATATAGCTTTTTAACTTACGTAACTAGGTGCATTGTAACCATATTCTTATATATGTGACATGACCCGTACTCTTGCAACCTGCCACCATTTAGCACGTGTAACATGTCATATATTTACTTAGGCAATGATTTTCCAACCTTATATACTCCTTATTTCCTCAAACTGAAAATGTGGGCTATAACACTGATTAGGGCTCCGTTCGTATGATTAGACTATCTAAACTCACTAATCGTGAGATATGACCCGACCAAAGATCACAGGACTCACTCTCAGACCACAACTTCCCCTATTCTTGAATCTTTAGGTTGTCTCATACCCTAGACTATTCTCATCATTAAACCGGTGGAGATAGCTAAGTTTTAATCCCTCAACAAACTATGAGACAGTCCTTCGACAAACAGTGAGACAAGGCTATAGCTCCCATACACCAAAGGGCAACCTAATTATCATATAAATTTTCTCTACTCCCAAATCCATAGGCAAACTCCTGCCATTAATCGTGCCATAATCATTACTCACTTGAGTTTACTTTTTTGCTTTCATTTACTCACTTTTACAACCACCATATTGGGCTCATGGCCTTGTGTTACCCAAGTATGTATTTTCATCATTTTTTAAAATTCATTTCATTACTAACACACAAATATCTCTACTCATCATTGTGTTCATTTTTCAAAACATAAGCATTTTCATAGTAAAATCCTTTTGACTTTGCATTTTGCATTTCAAGCTAAAATAGCATTATGCTCAATCAAATTTTCATACACTCATCGAAAATTAATATATAGTTTTACATAAAAATCAATCTTATGCATGTAACATTTACCATTCACATTCAACAATCAATTAACATACAACTATCCAAAGTAGAGTTTTTCCTTGGTTACCTCAAACTTTCAAGAAGTCAAAGGTTTACCTCTCAATCAATTAGCTTCCAAGTTTGAATTTCCACTCCAATAAGTAACCAAGAGCCAAAACTACAATCAACCAAGTTGAATTCAATTAACATAACAAACTCAAACATTTGAACCCTCAATCTCTACTTCTAAATTGCCTAACCTTCACTTTACAAGAGGTGGAGCCTAACCATTGGGTTTAATAATTACCTTTAGCCCCCAATGGCATTAATAAGCCATTAAATTCCCATTAATGACATCACAAACTTCCAACCACTTATAATAAATGAGATTTTCGGGTATTTATGGTGCCCAACAACTCAAGACACCAAAACTCATCATACTAGGTTTTAAATATTCTAATCTACCTCCATTAACTCCATTTGAATCAATAAATTCAAACCCATAACCTATATGGACTGAAATCCCACTTTTATTATCAAACTCTAACCATAAACTCATAAATATGGAAGAAAATGGGAGATTAATAAGTATAATACTTACCTTGGGTATTTATAGCCTTCAAAATACTCTCAAATTAGTCCCCAAGCAAACTCTAGTAGAGCATTTGCATGCCTCTCCTTTCTCTCTTTTCTTTTCTTTCTTTTTTTATCTCATTTTGCGTCTGATAAAGTGTAAAAAATGGCCATGTGCAATCGCGGATGCACAATGCACTGCAGTGCATGGCACAGAGAGGTCCTCCCTCTCTCAAAAATGGCTGTATTCCATGATAGATGATCTATGCACCGTAGCATGTGGTACAACAACTTCAACTCTTCCTTTTCTTCTCGTTTCGATGCATGGGTGGCCTACCTCGATATCGGACCCATAACTAGGGCTAAAATAGCATCAAATATAATTATTAGACCTTTTGGCCACACACCATTTCAATTTACTTAATTACCCTAATTAGGTTTAATTAATCAGGGAATTAAAACTCAGGATGTTACAGTGTCCTCGGGCATAACTCAAGCAGCTCGTGATTTACCTCCATATCGCTAACAATCTTAAGAACTATTCAAATCGAATAGCGTCCAATGGTGCTAATAATGTTCTCCCGAAGATGTACTTGGTGGTTTGCTAGAGATTACTTCATCCCTGCTGCTGTTGCCGTCTTACTGTCAAGGCCATTCCCAGACATATCAAAGACAGAGGTCTTTGATGGCAAAGAATTTCAAACGCTAGCAGGAATGAGTCTTCACCATTCTTGACATGCATGGTGTAGCTACTACTCTTACTTAATCTGAGCCTCCTGCTGATGCTGACCAAGCCCAGAGAGTTGCATGGACTCATGCAAATAAAGGTATACCAACACACTATCATTAGCATCTTATCTAATGATTTGTTCGATGTCTACTGTGTCTACAAGAAAGCTTGTAAGATATGGGAGTCTCTAGTGACAAAGTATACTACTGAAGATGCTAGCAAACAAAAGTTCATTATGGGAAACTACTACAAATGGGAG